CATACACCTCCCTCTTTCCCACCCTCTTTTCCTCTACTTTTATTCAAACTATATCATATTATACATATTGATCTTCAACTTGCCTTTTTTCACTTAGTGGCATATCTTTGCCATTATTGTGTAAAGATCTATTTAATTTTTCAATGTCCACTTAGTATCCTAATAATTTGACTGGTTCGCAAACGATGCCCTCTAGCTCTCTACTTGTCTCCCCCTCCCCATCCTTCCTCCCATTACTCTCTCCCTCTCTTTCTTTTGGATATCACTCTTTTGCATGTTTGTTTGAGGTAACCCTAGGATACATTCTTAGACAGAGAATTGCTGTAACAAAACGCATGTGCATTTAAACAAAAACAAAAGTAAATTTTGACAAGTTGTCATCTAAAATGTTTGTATCCACTTGATCTCATAAGTTATTTACTCATATTCTCTCTAACACTGGGTGTTATCATCCTTTTATATCTTTGCTTATCTGATAAGCAAAAAATAGAATTTATATGAAATATAAATAGAACTTACATGAAAAAATAGAATTTATTTTAAAATTTGTCTTATCCTCATGACTAAGAATCCCTTCTGTATTTTGTTTGTACCTTTTTAGTAGTGCAAGTAAAATATTCAGTCTTGAGGGTGGGGACTATTTTCTATTCAGTAGAGTAAATATTTACTAAGTATCTATTATGTGTTTAGTTGATTAGACTGAAAACAACACAAATAACAACAGAGTTCTATGCCATAGAGTGTGACAGAAAATATAAACATCAAAAATGTAAACAGGAGAAGATTTTCTCATGGCAGAGCTAGTTTTGAGTGGCAGTGGCTCCTGATGAATAGATTGAATTAGCTACAAGATGTACCTTGAGTAACTGAATAAATTGAGGTGTTAGCTAGAGTTATTTTGTATCTTGCACTTGAAAATTGGAGATTATCAGCCAAAAGTAATTTTAGTTTTGGCACAATTAATGATGATCTGTTCTCTCTAATCAATAATTAGAAATCTGCTCAGTGACTCCTTAGTGGTTTGTGATAGAAAACCATGACTCTGGCATTAAGAATGGCACCTCNCAATAATTAGAAATCTGCTCAGTGACTCCTTAATGTCACTAGTGGTTTGTGATAGAAAACCATGACTCTGGCATTAAGAATGGCACCTCCTCAACTGCTATGGGACAAGACAGCTATGACAAGTGTTTATTCTGGGGTCAAAGAAGGAGCTGATACAGCTCTCTTTTATGTTGTAGTTTTAGGTAAAAATCCAATGTATCTAGAAACAATTTCAACTCTCTCTGTCACAAAGCTGTTAAAAATGCAAATTTTATTAAAGCTTTGATAACATTGGATTTACGCTATGCTTTCACATCTTGGTCCATGAAAGAGCTGATGACAAATGGGGAAACAAAATGCTACAAGTACTAGCATGTTCCAAAATGCTTCTCATATTGTTTTAGGAGGTAAGCTGAAAAAAAGTGTTTCATATTCAGCCAAACTCCAGGATAGTTGTTTCAGAAAGTGAAAAAAGTTTCTTAACTGCAAGATCTCAGGGTCTTTCATACAACAAGGTGACTGGGAGCCAGTTTTCATTGTTTCCCAACCCCTTTGGTGAAAACACATTGTTTTCCTATGGTCAAAGTATGTTGCTTTCCAGCCATCCAGGATACACTTTTCTTTCTTAAATCTGGTGGGGTTCTGATCAGGCACCAGCTAAGAGGCCAGGTAGTGCTCCAAGTTAAGACAACTGAAATCTGGATTCTGAATTGGGAGTATTAAAGAGCAATAGTTGGGGTCCCCCCATTCCAGCATGGGAGACTTCCAATCATGGCATTTCTGCCCCTTCCGTCACTGCTGGAGTTGCTCTCACGCCTGCCAGCTTCCTCGCCTGCTTATCTCGGCAGGCTGCCCATCGATTCTCAGAGTTCCTGTTATTCTTCTATCAAGTTCCCTTTTGCTTAAGTTGGATGGAGTTTTCTATTGCTTTGCAACCAAAGGACACACACATTTTCTTCCTTAGCTTACCTGTCAATAGCACTAGATCAAGACAGGGACAATGTCTATTTATTGACAACCGGAAGCCCTATACTTATAAGACTGCCTAACACATCCTAAGAGCTCAGAAAAATTTTTGTTGAACAAATGACTAGTATTCCAAAGTGGAGCTTTTGGGGAGCATTGTCTTAGGCTGTGTCCTTAATAAGAAAAGACTATATATAACGATACTCAAAAGAGAAATAGTACCTAAAATTTATTCGCTCCTCTAGTAACAGAGTATACCAGAAAACACACCTGTGTTGAGTTTTGATGGCTAGTTAACAAACTATGGAGTCAAGTACTACAGAGAAGTAAAAGATTTTTCAATTGAAAAAACAACAACTGTACTTTAAATCAATCTTATGAAGTCATTTAGGACATAATTGCCCTCTCTGGACTAGGCATTTTTCTAGACATTTATCATACATTTTCTTCCTTAATCCTCAACATCTATGTGCCAGTCAGCAATATTTCTTGAGCCCCTAATGTGACAGACATAGTGCTAACACGCAGGAAAACAATAATGAACCAACAGACTCAGCTTGGGCAGTAAGAGACCGTTCTACAGTCACACAGATGGTGAGTTGGTGGAATAAAGATTATTTTTCTGTGTAAATACAGTTACATCTTTGCTCTTTCTATTTAATTGTATGTAATAATGAATAGCTTCTATTTATTCTAAACAAATAGATAATCCAGTCAATAAAGATGGGTTTTAGATTTTAAGAACAGTCACCTTGGTGGCAAATACTTTATGAATCTTGAAGGAGTGTTTTATTGACACCAGTCATTGTGAATATTTTGGGTGCAAATATACTTTAACATTTGGTCTTCTGGTATAACACAGCAACCAATGAAAAGTATCCAGCTGCTTATGAAAAATTCTAGAGAATGGCCCTGTACCTAATGTTTGCTGTCAGTTTGTTATACTTCCCTCTGCTCCTGCCTTGGTGCCCAGGACTGCCAGATAAAGTAGGTCCCCAGAATCCTAAAGTCCAAATATCGAGACCCTGTGAATGAAGCCCTGGAAGCCAGACAGGCCCAAGGGGTGAGCGTGGGGTGCAAACAGCCCCAGAAAGCCTGTAGATCTAAAAGTGGGGAAATTGCTGATCTGAAACTAATGAAAATGTTAAGGGCATCGCAAAATCGATCTGGGTTCCGTTCCTGGCCCAAATGTGGAGGGACATCAACCTCCAAGACAGAGGACTTAACATTCTGTGAAATTCCACCTTTGCAGTAATTTCAACACTGAACTTCTAGAAAATACTGTCTACTCTAGAGTTTTACCTATTGGCGGTTTAACTCCACGTAGGACCAAGGTTTTCATTTCAAAAGTGGAAGATGGTATATTTTTACCTATTAAAACGAAAACGATCCACTTTGCTTAAGGGTCAATTCTAAGCATATTTTACCCAGGAATGATCTACAAGACCCAAGAGCGGCCAAGAGTGGGCCAGGCCCCAGAACTTAATGGTGGTGTTTTGGGGTTCGTGCTTGTTTGCCGTTTTAACGCCGAATTAGCTGTAACCGCACCCCCCCATTCCTCAGGTTCAAGGCTTCCATCCCCCTCTGGCGAGCCCGTCATTCCTTCGAGTTGCTGTGACGGGTTCTCCACGGTCCGTGAAGTCGACTACCCCAAGGAGGGCCGCTCTGCAGCTCCCGCAAGGCGGCCGGGGCATTCTGAACTTCACAAGCTAGCTGGGTGGGCAGCGGGACACGGGCGGGCGCTCCCAGGCACACCAAGGTGCGCCCACCCGTCCGTTCCCGCGGGCTGCCGGCCGCCCTGGGCAAGGGGTCTGCGAGCCGGCGGCTGGCTTCTCCCGCGTCCGAGACGGCCCGAAGCTGCGGCCGCGCGC